TGCCTGATGGTATTTAAAGTTACAGAAAACATTACATAACGACCTCTGATTTTTCTCGGGTCTTTCAGGTGGATGTAATTAAAGCCACGACAACACATATATGTCACTGCCATTTCACAATTTCTTAGTAAAAACTCACCCATTGCTGAGTTTCACAATATTCCAACAACTAAACCTCCATTTTACTTCCTGTAATAAACTGTTTATTAGTTTGTTGGTTTAAAACCCAGCATCTGGACCAGGAAAAAAAAAAGCGTGGCTAAAGGAACAGCATTTACATTTTTACTGCAATTCATGAAATTTCTGTAAGTAGTAATTACCACCTGTTTAGCTACAAATTCATGATTTTGAGTTTCCTGTACTTTTATTGTTTGTTTTCTCGCTCAGAATTATTCAGGACAGAACTCTTAAATTTTGCACTGTGATTAAATTCACTTTCAACAGCAGTCTCAATTTAACTGCTAAACAACAAACATAAGTGTGGAAGTTATGGAGTGTATTCAAGTTAAAAAGTTAAATGTGTTAGCTATTCAAGTATAAGTTTGTACTCGATTTGTTTCTTTTTTTCTGTGTAGCTGCAGAGGAGAGCATGAAAGACACCTCAGAGCCGACAGGTTCTCCTGCCCCGGTGATCCAGCACAGCTCTTTGGCGCCCAGCCCCTCTGCAGGGCAGAATGGCCTGAGCTCAAGGGCAGCAGCAGAGGCCATGGCTATGTCTGTGCTGGCAGGAATGGGCCAGCAGCAGAGGGCTGAGAGTGGACCCTCTCACATTATCATGGCTGCACAGTCTCAATCTGCTGCCAGATGATGAGCAATGCCACCACGGCCAAGACTTGGCTCACCACTGAGGGGCAAAAAAGAGCAGCGGACACCCCCCTCCCTCCCAGTTTCCCCAATCTAGAAGTCCAAATATCTCCTCCTCTGCTCCCCTGTTTCTCCTCTGCTCTCTCTGACCCTCCTGTGGAGCCATCATGCTGTGGCCTGGAGCTCAGCAGCAGCCTTCTGGGAATGGACTGAGACTTTTGAGAGAGCTTCCTGTTACCTTTGCCATAGACTACAGGGGCTGGACTCCCCCCTCCCACTCCCACCCCCCATTTCCCTCTATCTCTCCTCACCCTCAGTCAAAATGACTCTTCACTGGACTGTAGGACTGCATCGCTCTGAGTGTACTGCCGTAATGAACTTCCCACGTGGACACGTACCACACACGTGCACAGTTTGAAACACACGGGTGTTGCATAAACATTCTTGATCAAATCAGATACCAAACAACATACAGGACTTTACACTGTTTTCAGCAGGGAATAGTGCCTTGTGCTCCTCGACTTTTCAGCCATACACAAACCCTCAAATACCGTCATAGCATAGGTCCCTACACACCCTCGGCTCCAAAGATGCAGTAGACGTCAGTGACTTAGATCTCAAATATTCACATAAACCTTTTGTAAATGGTTCCACCTCAAAGTGATCTCAACATGGACCCAAAACTTACCTCATTTACACCCCTTTATGATAAAATTTATAAACTGTGTGTGTGATTGGCTCTGTGTGTATATATTTATGTACATCAGAACATAGCAGTTTGCCTACTCCTGATCTGATACATTAATATTTAGATTGTTAGCATGTGACTTTTTCTATTAGGGTGTTATGTTCTTGATACAGTATGTGCAGCTATATTTTTTTAATTAATTGGCACATCCTCCAAGATTAGTCCACAGAACCAAAATACATTGGATTGTCCAAGACAGTGTAGTATCCTAAAATCATTTTTTTTGAGCAATATTATTTTCTAACCTGAAGGGAATTTAACCTCTCCTCTCCTTCTCAACGTTTCCTCTAAAAGAGGCGGTTTTGGTGTTTATTGGTTTGTAAGTGGATGCCTTTTCCATTTTATCCGAAACTATTCTATTGACTATGTTTCTCTGTAACTGTTGTTTTCACACTTCTCAGGATGGTTGCACATCCTTGCTGCTCATTGGAAGTGCGATGAACCCCTTAGTGTCTCTGCTTTTTACCAAACCTAAACTAAGCCATAATGACAACACATCAGATCTCTGAATCTCCAAAGACCACCTGGTACTAGTTCTGGGGCAGGCAGTCAATAGCCGGACTGTTATTTTGTGATTCAGAGGTCACAGTGACACAATCTACAGTATATCACTGCTTGTTACTTGCACTTACACAGTCTCACACACAATCTCTGGTAGTTTTGCCTTAAGATCACATTGGTGCCTCCGATATCCCCACTTAAAAACACGCAGATTTGGTCGTGTGAAAATTGATGGAGCCTTAGAAAAATATATTTGTCTTAATTTGTTCATTTCATCAAGAAAAACAATAAATGAGGAACAAAAAGATTTAATAACTTGTTGATGATTCCTCCAGGCCTTTAAAATGAAGAGTTAAATTAACCATTCGTCTCTCTTCGGTGACATGAAATGATACAACACTTGTCTGTCATCTGCTGGAGGGACACAGCAAAGACAACCTCACTCGTAGGAAAAGGTTCAGATGTCTTGTGACTGTTTCTGAATAGTTCCAGTTCCTCATAAATCCCATAAACATATTTTACCCAGATATCAGTATATTTTTACATTAACACCTAAACAAGCATTTTTTTTGTGCCTGTATATTTTTGTCCCTCTTTTGTTTGATCATATATTTGCAAGATGTGATATTTCAAAAACAAGATATCTGTCCATTAACATAAGGGCATGTCTTTATGCACTAAAATAATAATGCAAGTTTATTGTTGCTTTGTATTTCTGTTCATTTAAGTTTTTGCAGTTCTATTGGTCTTTTTTTTTTAAATGGTATTTTTCTCTTATTTGTACTGTATACATAAATGGGAATTTGCTCAGCAACCTTAATACTTTTCACCTTTGACTGAACCTCTTGTCCTACAGTCCCAATGGCGAGCCCGGCATTTTGTTGTACTCTGTTGCTGGCGCTATATTTTGGCTGGCAGTCCCTTATAGACGATTGTTCATATGAAATGAAAATTCAAACTATATTTAGCTTTCATATTTTCATGTAATTCATGTCATTGGCACCTTTTCTGTCATTTCTTGTTTTCTTTTGTTGTGTGCTATTTCAGCACTGTACAACTTTTGTCATAACGCTTCTGATTGTACTGATGAATATAGAAACAAATTTCTTTTAACACACGGATTTCTTTTTTCGTTTGTTTGTTTGCTCTACAGAAAAATGTCATTAGTCCTTTTTCAAAAAGATTTTATCCCTTTTGTCATATCTTTTAAGAAGAATTTGGTTGTGTCTTCCGATGGTCCTTGTCTAACTTATTTTTACTTAATTGGTTAAATAACAATCATCATCACAGTCTTTGGCATATTAATGTTCCCTAGAATTGTTATGAGAAGAGCAATTTGATGAAAAATGCAACAATGTGAAAGTTGCACATAGTGTTTTAATGGTTTTTCACACTCCCATTGTTGGACTGATGATTTCAAAAAATTGTCCTTGTACTGTACATATCTGTACTATATGAATATATTTACTTTTCCATGCATGTCCAAGTGGAATACTATGAACACTTACAGTGCTGCAGTTTTAATTAAAGAAACTACATCTTAATGAGTAATATATGGTTTTGTTTAAATTTCATCTTAGATTCACAATGACTAAATATGTTTTCTGTAATCTTACGTGGTAAAATGTGGTATGAAAGGCAGTGTATTTGAATATGACAGAATATACAGTATGTAAGGACACTGCACTGCTTTGTTTTTAGTTGTAACCTCAGTCTCCTCAGTCTTGTAATTCTGGTTCTTCTAATGAATCATTGGTTCATGTCCTTTTAAGTAAATTCTAAAATTCTTCAACTTTATTATAAGCAGGTCCGTAGCTGTTATTTTAAACAGCATTTTAACCCTGGTCTTGGGAAATAACATAAACAGAAGATATGATTCAACGCTGAACTTGACAAAATATGAAAAACACACATAAACAGATGATTTTGAGTACTACTTTCTAGTTTGCTTCTCTTTGTGGTCATTTTGCATTTCATGCAAGAAAATTGAAAAAATCTCATTTTGCATAGTAATTTAATTAACGTTAAATAACAGTAATTTCAGATAGAGGCTCTGGTTCAGGGGCCCCCTCACTGCATGGGCCCATGGGCCTGTGCATCTCTTTTTACTCATCTTGTGTGGGGCTGCACAATTATTCAAAAAATATTATTGAAATTGCAATATGGCCAAGTGGAACATCCAAATTGTAGGCGCTACAGTTTTTTTGATAAAGGTAAAACATGCCACTGTGTACCCGAAATGAAGCATTATGGTGCGACACAGATGCCAGACATAAGACATAAGGGAACATGCCTGTTTGGCACAAGACCCAACAAAAATCACATCATCATTTTAATATTTTTTTCTGTGAAAACAAAATGAAAAATTACCATTCCAACTGAAATTGTTACTCATATCTAACAAAATCACCATAAGATGTTTTTTTTTTTTGCATATTGTTCAGCCCTAATCTTGTGTCTCTTTTTGGTTGCCTGTGCATCTCTTTTTAGTTATTCTGAGTGTATTTTTACTTGTTTTTGAATCCGTAGTCGTTTTGAATTTCTTAGTAGTAATTTTGTGTCCACTCATATTTGTTTATTTTTCTCTGTCTATCTCTTTGTACTAATTTGATTGGGGAACAGTCACTTCATACAGAGGTACAGGGGCCCAAGGGCCAGGGGTCCCCTGTGCCTGTGCCCCGGAGACCCCTCCAGTAACTCATCCATGCATGTATAGTGTGGGTCAAAGTTTGATGTGTCTCAAGGGATGAAATTATATGAGCTGGTTACTACATGACACACAGTACCGTCCCCCTTGTGTTTCCGCCTGTCAGACGCCAGAGGGAGCGCCAGTGTCGGCGTGATTTTCGACAGAGGATGCGGTGAATTAACGCACAGGCGAGGTAAATGCAGTCACGTGACCGCTCGTTGCCGTTGGTGAGTTTCTCCCATTATGGCGGAGCGGCCAGCCGTGCGGATGGACTGTCTCTCCCACTCTGATGCTTGTTTCGTGTCGTGAAGGAGGGCGTTTTATTTATAATTTTTTAACATTTCCCCGGCAACAGCCCGGTTTCTTTTCAACTAGACTGCACTCGTGTTTATCGGCGAAGTCATGGCAGACCGCGGCGTGGATTTGTCCGCCCTGCCAAAAGAGGTTAGAGACCAGTTGGCGGAGTTGGATCTGGAGCTGTCTGAAGGTAAAGGAGGCGGGGAGGGGGGCTGACGGGGCTGATGGGGGGAGATGTTATAGCAGATTTTCAAGCTAGCTATGTGTCTCAGCTGTGTGGGCTAACCGGCAGCGATTAAACCAGTAGTTCTCCTGTTATTCTACTCTCTCTCTGTAATACATTGAATGGGAGCACGTCAGGCTGTGCCACCTAGCTCATTTTGTGCTAATACAGGATGTGGGAACACGAGCTAGCCGGGCATGACAAGCAGCATTGTACTGGAGGAAGAGAAAGGGCTTCCGAGCTCATCCTCGTGTTTCCTTTATCTCAAACCACACAGAGGCTCATATGAAGCTAAACGTCGGTTTAAAGATGTGTTTCTGTAAAACATCTCCTCCAACAGCAGTCTAGTCTGCCCTGACAGACAGCCTGCTGATGGCCAGAGGCAAGGTCTGGCTATCAGTGCTTGACCCTTCTTCTGTCACCTTAGTTATACTTCTCTATATATTATATAATATGGCTTCCATTTAGACCTCATACAGTCCCGTTACTTGGCATTTGTACTACAGTTCCAGCTGAAAATTTTTTTTTTATTGCAGTAAAACTGTGAGTCACTTTGACTATTGTGCTGATATGTAATGATAAGGCCTGCAGTCATGATCTGCCCTGGTGTCATATGAAGATACAGTCTTTTATAAATGACTGCCAGTAATTCCCAAACGTGGTATATGACCTCAGTGACGTTCACTGGAACAAGATGTGTACAGAGCCTTTTCAGTACACCTGCGTAAACCTGCTATTACTGGAATTATAGGTTTACCTACCTGTGATGCTCATTGTGGGTTACACTATCCTCTTATGTGAGATGTGTGTCAGGTGTGTGTGTCTGCTCATGCAATTTGTTGTATTTTACACATATCTGGACCATTCATTCATCCAAAGCATATTCAAATCAACCCCTCCCCCAGAGCAGCTGTCCTGTTCTACAACCACTGACACACACTATCACACATCCATGACAGTATGCCTCCACCTCCAGCTGAGGTGAATCCAGTTGTCCTGAGTGTTGATCGGTTAGTGTACGTTTATCCATACAGATTGACATTTGAATAACCAGTATTTTATATTTTTGTCTGACGTACATTTATGACAAATTCTTAGGCAGGTTAACCATTTCAGTCACACCTGTAATAAGGCCATAAAAAAGAACATGGTAGTCTAAAAGAGCTTGACTGTGTGGATCATTTGCATTTGACAATTATACACATGAAAAACTGATTTAAAAATACAAATACATATTCAAAGGTGAATTACTGTTAGTTATGAGCATATTGGAATAACACAGTTGATACATTTGACAGGTCATATCAGCCAATACTGATTGTACGTGGATATATTGGTGGAAGTGGTGTGTAATCAGAGAGTTATACCAGTGGTTTTAGATGTTTTAAGGATCTAATTATAAATGTATATATACTTCACATTACAGGCAGTTTAACAAAGTTGTATCATAGGTCATTGTAGGGGTCGATGATATGACTATCTATGCATTAGAAGATAGAAATTTGTCTACTGGGAATGGGCCATACTTTTTACACTGTGGTAACTGTTCCTTTAGCATCTCTGGGTGTGTTGTTGGTAGTGTCATAAATTAATGATCAGGACTGTTTTTATGGCAGTGTAGAATTTTTATATCATTTTTGAATCAGTTGAAATACTTTTATATGTCAGGTACTGGATTTGCTGGAATAGCTAGAACAAGACATTTCTTTCTGATTGTTTTATCCATTAACAAACTCTCAATTAATGGAAATTTACAGACTTCACAATGTATATTGATATTGGGATTTAAATGTTTTTCCATTGATAAATGCATTTTTAATGCTTGTTTAAAATCATCTTGCACAGCCTTGAAACTTTTTTGCTGTGACCCATCAAAGTGTAAAACATGTTAACTTTATTTGTATGACAGTTAGGTGTAGTAATGCAGTTGTGAGCAGTTTTTTAAGACTTCCTTGGTGCGTTCAAGTGCTTGTGAGAAATATGTGAGACTTGAGAGTTGGTTACCAAACAATATCATTTTCAATGCAAAAAACAACCAAATTCACATTATCCTGCTGCCCATGTTTACTAACTGTAGATCTTCTGCATATTAGTTGTCTGACAACATAACTTGTGAATGTAAAGCTTTTCACATTGCAGCTCTCAAGTATTTGTAGTCCCATCATGACTGCATGCATGTGGCATGTCACCACCTTATAGGCCATTTTTCTTGAGTCCACAACAAGCCCTCCCCTGAACCAAGTGAAAATGCCTGTTCCTGCGTTGCTCGGATAAGAACACAGGCCTGCCAAATGGCCTCTTAAAAACAACCCATTTCTGCTAGCCCCCTGTGACCATGGGGACACAATGAGGACCATTCAGCTGGTCTGAGCCGCCATGGCCAGGAGCTCTGCTGCCATTTAGGCCATTCAGCTGAACCCAGTCTTTGTGTGCACGTTGGAATGAGCCGCCTCCATAGGAAGAGAAGGGAGGGGCCGCTGACTGGTCATACTTGAGAAGGTGATGTGTGGTGTGTACCTCTACTGGGAAAGGTCCACCCTCTCACCCTGCCATTTCTCAGCTGGGAGAGGGGTAAAAGGTCATGTCTGGCTCTTCCCTGAAACTAGCATACCTGGTTGACATCCCCTGCCATCTGTCAAGTGTGTTATACAGAAACCTAATGTTGCTGACACAAGCAAAATTCCACACAGACCAGTTTTTAGTAGCTGGTGGTCCAGGCCGAAGTGCTGTTTTGACATTAGAATAAAACTCAAAATGACTGGCATTTCCCCCCAGTCTGCTTCTAAGCTCTTAAACTCTGGGGTGCACATGTTCGTGTGTATGTGGAGATGCAGTTTTACTCTCTGTTTGTATCTCTGATCAGTATATGGAGACTGAGAGTCCAGATTATTGCCAGTTGTTTCCTTTCTAGGCCAATCATACAGTCAACCACCCAGCAGAAGCAGGCTGGGCTCATTTGTGTATTAAGGGAAAGGGCCCTCAGCAGAGGATGACAGCATTGATATGGACCCGTTCTATATCAACCATCCATCCTCCTGACCCTAGTCATCAGTGACAGTGTGTAGGACAAAGCCTGATGGATCTTTGAGGAGGACTCTCCTCCCAGCCGAGGGGGAGGTCCGTGAAAACATATCTCTACTCTCTCTGTATTATTTATGAATGGGATATGCAGCAAAGAGTTGTTTTTGTAAGTAGTTAGGCTAATGAGATAGATAACAGATGTGTGATAGACACTTCCGTCTGCGCTGGCATAAAAAGAGGAATTAGGACCTCTCACAATGATTGTCAAGCTGACGTTTCTGCCCAGATTCAAATCATTTCACAACTGTTGACTCTTGCATGTTTTTTTTTTAACACCCCTAACAAATGTAATTGCACTCATCCTACACATAGGATTGGGCAATATTGTCAAAATTGATAATGTTAATTAAAATCTAAGATGTATTTTCATTTATATGTTCTTTTAAAGACTATTAATATGGCATTTTTTTGCATTTATTTGACAGTTGATGGTCTAGAGAGACAGGAAACAAAGGGGAGGGAAAGAGTGAACGGTGACATGCAACAAATGTCCTCTGCCGAAGCAAACGGGGAACAGCGCAATTACAGACTACCCAGCTACTTCCTGTGGCAATATGTACAAAAGTTTACCAAATGACATGTTCAAAAGTTTAACTCATGTTTATCCCATTGAGTCAAATAGTTTTCTTTTTTTTTCTGGAACACAATGCTATAATTTTCTAAAAATATATGTTTTTAGATCTCAGTGAAAGATTGTCTGTGACAGATTTTAGTAGAAATTGAATTTATTTTTCATCTAGACATAACAACCAGGATATGGTTATGTGAACCATGACACTTCAACATGAGCATTTTTTAAGCAACATGATTACAAAGAGGGACAATAAACAATAAAAAAGATTTATTGCGCAGCTCACTTGCAAAACAACTTGGAACATTTCTCCACCATTTCTCACTGCTTTTTAATGAGTTTCGAGAGGTCTAAAGAGTTTTCATATCAAGCCCTGTTTCTCTGTTTAGATATCTTGGTAGTATCCTTTGTCAGTTTTATGTAAAGCGTCCAATAGGTTAGAATCCAAAAGGCACATATCATCTCCCTTGTAGCTTCAGAGCTAAGGCCTCAGGCTCAAGCAGATGGTTGGGCACTCTTGGCAAAGGTCTTCCTTTATGTGTGTTTGTGTGTATACACAGTATGTTTGTATGCATGTGACATAATACTGTTTCTGTGAATAGTTAATGATGGCTGCAGTCCCTTTTTACTCCTCCAGGCCTGTAGTAGGCTGAATTATTCACATGCTCTCATTAAATACCAGGACACCCTTACAGAGTGGTGTGGGTGTGGGTGGGTGTGTTGGTGTGTGTGGTTAGTGAGCGTGACTTTTTCATCCTCCCCAGGTAGCCGTTGGGGCATGCATAGGATTTAAAAAAAAGCCAACTAACTCCTTTGAACTAGTTCCAGGAGATATATTGACATCCCACTCATCAGCACTTAAACCTGCACGTCTCTGGTGTGAAACTCACTTTCTACAGTAGAAGATGCTTAACTTGTTGAATGAGCTCTGTGATGTCAGGTAGGGCTGGGCAACATGGCATAAATCAGTAGCAGTAATAGGGCTGCACAATGGACAATAAGGCCAAGAGCAATATTCAAATCGCAGGAGCTGCGGAGGTAAAATGTGTCACAACAGACCATAAATGAAGCATTGTGGTGCTACAGAGTACACGCCCCAGCTACAAATTGTATTCTCCAGACGTAAAGGAACATGCTTCTTTGGTACTAGACACAACAAATATCACACCATCATCATTTTTACATTTTTTTCAGTGAAAACAAAACCAAAAAAAATTACCAGTCCAACTGAAATCGTGACTCATATTGCAATCGCAACATCTGCCAAAATAATCGCTGAAATCTGATCTTAAAATATTTTTTTCGATATCCCACG